AACTAAGACAAGGGTAGAGCTCCCCAACGAGGACTGTATATATAGACGTAAGCAGCTGAGAGGTAAATCCCCCAACATGTCAACCGCACCCCCCCGGCGAGTGCGCAGCCAAGTCCGAACACAACCCCTCTTCTTCTTTCAGCGTCGCGCCCGTTGGACGGCTGCCCACCTGGTAACCTGTATAAACCCTTTTGTGATGTAAAAAAACAATACTCCTTATTGCAAAAACGCCTCACGTCGCTTGTGCGGAAGAACCGCTCATAGCTTGGACCAGAAAAAACAGCTACGTACATATGTATGTATTCAAGCCCCATGACACTTCTTTTTCCTTCCTTGCTGCAAGCAATCGTCGCTGTTGTAAACATGCCATACCATGCCATACCATACCATGCCATGTAAGCCTCCCCTAGCACACGTAGCACAGGGCGGTTCATGAATTCAACCTCGCGAAGAATGTTGGCCTTGATTCCTGGACCCTACCTCGATGACCCGGTGTCCCGCCATGCGACAACCCCACCCCACCCCACCCCACCCCATATGTGAATACGATTTACAGAGACCAGATCTGTTTGTAGCGGTATCCGGCAGGATGTACGGCAATTACACAATCCTGAAACGTAACACCGTCGGAATTTCGCTGGTGGCATACTGTTAGCGGTTACCATATCATACAGCGATACAGCGATACAGCGATACAGCGAACACCTACGTGTGTGTGTGCGGCGCTCCAACACCACCACGGGCACAGCTCCCCCACGGCACAAACAACATTAAAACTCTCCCATTTTTCACCACAAGATATATCCACAAAAATAATACATCCACAAAAAACTTTGCTTTTTAGATCTCAAAAAGAGGCCTTTAGCCGCAGTGGTATATTCCCCGCTCATTCATATATTAGCCCTAACGGCCCCCAACGTCCTCAAAAACGTCAAACAGCTCAAACAGATGCAACCAGGGCAGCTCCTCTCGACGCTGGTACGGGTTATCACTACCACTGCCACTGCCACGGGCCATCTGTCAACATCCGTCATGAACAAACAACGGCATGCAACGTCGAAACACCTCCCCTCTTCCCCCCCCCCACACAAGACACACATCACAACAATGCCACGCACAGCCGCAACCCCCAAAAACATCATCAACACGAAAAACCATCTTGCGAAACAGGAGGACATGCTCCACATCCTCCAGGGTTGGTATTTTACGCGCCTCCAAAAGCCCTATCCCGGCATCTAGCCGATATTATTGCTTCCAGGCATGTGCAAAATAAAAAGCCGTGTGGTTGTAACCAACTTGAAATGGACGCAGCAGCTCACTCTTACCCTGGTGGGCGTCACCTCCCCCACCTCCCCTCGCGACGGAGCGACCCTGGCAGCTGTCCCCATCAACCACCACTTTCGGAGGGTTGAGAAGGAACGAGGGCCTCCGCGCGCACCTCTGCCCCGCAGCGAGCCACCACCTCGCGCTGCCACCCTCCCTGCCCTGTCCTTGCCTTGCCTTACCTGCCAACCAACACAAATGATATACACGAAATGCCGAAGACGGGCCCGAGCGGCACGTCCCGCACACATTGCGGCATTTCGCACACCCACTCTGCCCTCACCAGCTCCCATCAGCCATAAAATATTGAAATAGCACTGCGTGCGGTACACGAAGGCCATGTTTCTGGGCGCCAACATATCCTGATATATGTAGTTTTCCGTTTTCCGTAGCACCCCAGGCAAGACCTTCGAGAACAGACGACGACCAGGGCATATGTGCGCAAACGCCTCATCTGCTTCAGCCGTCCCCTTACCTCCCTTACCTAGCCATGTAAGACTGACCATCCACAACCCCCNGGTGACCACCACCACCACCACCACCACACGATACAACCAACCTGCGACAACACTCGCTCGATGCATTCATTACACACACCGCGACGGACGCGACTGACACCGAAGGCGCTCGTGGAGGCCATATGTATGTCTGTATATCTGCTCGCCACCTCACAACCCGCAGGCCGCTGCGGCCACCAGGTTTCTCAGCTCATGGTACAGCCCTCAGGTGTGTCGTACACAGATAACAGTATTGTACGGCACCTGGCTCGTGATCTGTGCGCGTCCAGCATCGCAGGAGGAAATCGCAATCCAACAGCTCTCTGGAGGTGGACGGAAGGCAACCACCACCACCGCCGGTGGTGGTGGTGGACGGCTCCGAGCTCGGGTTCGCGAGCATCACCTCATACACTCAAACATGCAGGTGCACGCATCTTCATGTCCTGAGACACCGAAGCGCAATACCGAAAAGGCACACATACATACATACATACATAGGGTTTGGCACCACTGGTAAGGCGCGACCATTGCCCCCGGGAGATCCCGGGATCGATACCCCTTAGGGTCAAAAGTCCTTCCGATGGTGGAAGGCATTGCGCCCCTAGTTGATGGACGGTGGTGACCTGGGATAAAGTTAACCTGCGAGCCGACCAGGAATGGAGTTGCGCCGCTGTCGACCCGGCAGATTCCGTTGGATGCTGGTGGTGGGTGCGGAACCTGAGCGATCCACTGAGAAGTTGACTAGGGTGACTGGATGAGGGTGCCCCGAAATACCGGGGAAGGCAGGGTTTCGCAGGGTAGCTGCCACGGGCGAAGATACACCCCCCTGTTTCACACATCATACATACAACGCCGTGGAACGTTTGTAATACAATAGTACCGTACTGTACACCACTTCTGCTCTGCCAGGCCATCGCGAAACTGAAGCTTGGGAAGAAAAGACATACATACATACATACATACCAGTAGGTTGGCGGCTTGGTCTTACGAAGGTGAGGGCCCGCAACACACCGGCTGGCATATGCCGTACAGGATATTAACAAAAGCCCCCGCCCCTCTGGGTGAGGAGCTGCGCCCCCCGGGATTCATGTGTGTGGGTAGATGGCGATGAAAACACCCCATCCCGCACACACACAAACACACACACGCTCCTGGGTGCCCCCGGGTCCTCCAGTTCCCAGGAGAGGCGCCAAAAGATTCGTACAGAAAATCCGTACGACATAAACCAATGTACGACCCATCCAGGGTCTCCTCAGACAGGAAAGTTGCCCCTCACCCTCCCCCGGTGCTTCCGTACAAATGGAGACGCAAGTCGCGTCATTTACGTAAAGTTGTGTGGATACATACATACATACGTACAACATGCATACATACATGCTGCTGCTGTTGCGGCAACCTTGCCGCAACCATCCCCTGCTTGATGGCAACTGCAACACGACTACCACCCGGCTCGCCTCCTTCGCAAAAGAACAACAACAGGGGCATGTGCGTGTGTGTGTGTGTGCATGCGCATAAAAGGAACGCCCTGCGGGGGTTGCCGAGGCTGTTGCAGGCTACCGCGGCAGCAGCAACAGCAGCAACAGCCCCCGGTCAGCAGCATGTGCGTGTGATACCTTCCTGTTTGTGCCGAGTACAACCCTAAGTACTCCAGAAAGATCAACATCGCTATCGATGCACGTTTTAAATGTTGTTTTATGTATGTATGTACGTGCGCTGTCCTGAGAGCCCGGTCAACGTCAAAGTCTCCCTTGCCAAGCCCCCCTCCTGCAGTTCACCGCCAGCAAACTCCAACAGCATCGCTCGACGAAGAAATCAGCTCAGCGACAGCAACCGCGACCGCGACAGCGACCGCGACAGCGCGAGACTTCAGGACTTTTCCGTATCATCATATTTCCAGACATCCTCTCAAACACAGACACCCGGACAGAGCGCCGCCGTACGGTACGGAATAATCGCCGCGGTACCAGCCATCGTGTTCGCACCCTTACGTTACCCGTACGTGCCTTGCCTTTCCCACCTTCCCCCTTCGTCCCGTCCTCAACGGGCGGAAGTCGTGAGAATGGATCCGGTGCCATGAAGGAAGTGAACTGGGTCGCGCGATGCTGTTGCCCCGCGCTGAGTCACGTAGGGGGTTGTACACGTCTTTTATCATGACATTTTGCCATTACACAAACGCGCCATGAAGGAACTATTCGCGTTTGCCACCACTGCGACGGATGGCACTGCGCCAATGGGAACTTAGCTGTGCGACTTGGCTGTGCAGCTGTCTTGACGTCGCGGTAGCCTTCCCATATCCCCTGTATTACCCCCTTCGTCTCCCCCGATTTGAAGCCCACCCGCCTTTGAAGAACAGCAAAGAGCCCCTCTCGTCAACGAGGGGGGCCCGTGTGCAGTACCCCGCCATTTTTGTGGTGCCGGACCAGGCCATGGCCATGTACCGCCATGTACCGCCATGCCAGATGCGAATCATGGACGCCATGCAGCTCTAAACAACAGCAGCAGCAGCAACAACAGCAGCAACAACAGCAGCAGCAGCAGCAACAACAGCAGTAACAACAACAACAACAACGAGACAACGCGCGGCTAAGCACCAGACCCGTTTACATCTTGAAACGAGCTGATACACGCGAGAGCCAAGCGACCCAACCCCACCTGCCACCAACGTCATTCTTCATATCCAGGCCAATACCTTCCATACGTGGCAGATATATATACACTACACACATCATATATTGCCATTCGCGCTGAGGGAAGGAGGAGGAGGTCTGGTTGTGGACACAGCCCCACGCCCCAAGCCGCTGAACGGCAGCTGGCCCCGTCCCTCCCATCTTTTCGCAGCACATGCTTGTATGTGGCACAGGCATTTGGAGCGAAAAGGAACCCGTCAGCGATACAGGAACGCCTACTCCCCCCCATCTTTCTTGCCCTCACAAGAAGTGGCGCTCAAGCCTGCGTGTTGCACGTTCATCAGCGCTTAGCGAACTGCACCTCTCGCGTCGCCGCCGCGCCGCTGCGGACCGCCGCTGCGGCCTCTCCGCTGCTGCCGCTGCGGACTCGACGGACTACCGCAGCCGCCGACACCGGATCCAGGTCTCCGCTGGAAGTCAGCGCCTTGGCTGACTCAATCTTCTGAAGTGTCCTGTCGAACAGGTTCCTACGGCGAAAGGAATGAAAAAGGTG